TTTTTTTTTTTTTTTTTTTTTAAATCTGGGAATAGTCAGAGTTTCATAAATACTGATCACAGGAAACCCAATCAAAAACTCTTATTTGAACACACACAGAGGAAAGCCAGGCATGAAATAATGCCATGTAGGCTCAGTCCCCAGCAAGGAGAGGCCTGTGCATCGTTTCAGGAAGGAAGCGCCACAGTTCTTTCCAGAAATAGCCCTCATGTGCCTCTACGCTGTGAAAGGAACGCGTGGGTTCTATTTGAGACCCTGGAAACCCCCAAAAAGGCCCGATGCCCTCTGCGGGCCGCTGGAGGGCGCCCGGCCGGGCAGGCTCATTAGCGAGATACATGGCACGTTCACCGGGATGACAGGCTTTGTGAAGCCCCCAGCAGGACGCACAAAAGCTGCGCCTCCTTTGTCTCTATAACCGTTCACCTTAAACAGTCCAGTTGGCACCATTACCCCTGATGGGTCTGTAACGAGAAGGAAACTGTCACACGCAGGCACAGAGAGACGGAAAACGGAGGGAAGAGACGGCTCGCTGACGGACAGGAGGCCTCGCAAGTACATCAGACAGAAGTACATTCTTAATTAAAAAGAAAAGTGCACACGAGCGCCTCTTGTTCAACAGAAACGTCAGGAACGAACCTTCAGGGGAAGAACAGAAAGTCATTAGGAAGGCACTTGAGAAAATACACCGATTTGTGGGCGGGGATTCAGCAGCTCAATCAGCGTGATGTCTTATAGAATCAATGACGAAATTAGGGTTAAATGCAGGAAATAAAACAGGAAAATGTAGCTAGATTAAGTAAACACACAATAGGAGACGGCAGAGGCAAAGATTAGTGAGAATGCTAAGAGTATAAATGGCTGGATCGTGACGTTTGGACCCACATTTATCATTTACCATTTATGCTGCATCTTGTTATTATAAAAGTAGTTTCATAAGTTTCATTGATTTTAGTAACTCCAGTGTGCCAGGTTAAGTTTTAGTGAAACAAAGTAAAAGCACGGAACCCTGTCAGTGAAAAAAAAATATTTTAAAGTTGTTCATAAAGTATTGACATAAAACAACTGAAATGGCCTGTAGAAATAGTATAAAAATTCCAAAGAATGATATGCAGTTTCTGGATGTCTCAAACAGTTCGGTGACTATAATTAGGAGCTAAATAAATATATGAATTAATATTTTATGTGATATTTTATTGAGATCTGATAGTTTATCTGCATTCCACATCTGAACAAGTTACCATTGTTGCAACATTAGAAAAATTCACTGTTTTTGAAAAATGATCCAATTGTATTTTTTCTGTTTTATTTTTTAATTGAATTTATTGGGGTGACATTGTTTAATAAAACAATATAGGTTTCAGATGTACAGTTCTGTAATGCGTCATCTGTATATCGTTTCAATGGTTAAATGTTCACTTTGATTCTGTGTGAATGCGTGTGGGATGAATACATCATCGCAGGCAAAACAATTTACATTTGACACTGAAACAGACATTTTTCTATTCAGTGGCCAACTTCTAAATAATTCCAAACACACTGTATGATATTCCAGTATTACCCACTGCCACATAAATGTTTATTTTTACTAATTTCGTGACTCTACTTAGACTTGTTTTTCACTAAAGCTCTAACAACAGAGAAAATTACTTTCCTGTGACATCTCCCTTGACATTATTTTGAATTTACATACTGTACAGCTCCAGTCATCTACTCAAGTATCAAAAATAGATGCAGAACTCTTACCTTAGGAGATGGAACTGGGTAACAGCAAAACACATGCATCGTGGAGACTGACAGAACTAGAAGAAGACTGAATTTTAATGAACTGCAAAGTAGAAGAGAGCACCTTGGATTAGTATTGTTCAGGCTAACATATGCTTTAAAAAGCAGGTATAAACTCAACATTTTTCTTTGTGGAAAAACACAGTCTTTTACCTAATCATTCTGGACTCTCCCGAAACTCTGCAGACCAGTGGCTCTATGGACGAAGCCCTCCCGCTCGCTGTCAGGGTCTCTGTGGGCGAGCCTTTTATACCAGAAAAGTTCAGGAGTAAAAATGTCATCACGTCCCATCATATGTGACTAATTGGTCTGGCTGTGGCCTTTTGTTCTTGTCAAGTTCAAAAAAGACAATCACGAACAGGCATTAAATATCCCAGATATTAGAGAGAGGGAGAAAAAACTAAGAAGAACAATTGAGATGATTAAAGAATAGTACCCATTCAGGAGGTCTGACATGTAAATAATAGGAATTCTAGAAAAGAAAAAAAATGACCAAGGAAAGAATCATCAATACAAAAAGACAAAAACAAACAAACAAAAAAAACCCACCCCAAGAACATTTCCTCATACAGAAGTTTCTAGTTTTCTAAAAGGAAAGGACTCATCAAGTGTCTAGTATTACAAATAAAATGAACCCATGCCAAAATAACACCATTATAAAATTTCAGCATATTGTACCCATTTTCCAGATTACCTACAAAGTCTCAAAAGTCAGAATACTTTGGATTTCTCAAAAATAACTATGGCAGCTTAGAACAATGGGCAATAAACAATGCCTTCAAAATTTTGGAGAAAAAAAAATGATATCCAATCAAGAATTTATTCCCAACCACACTATCCATTAAGTATAAGATTATGATAAACTTTTCAGTTACGTAGGATCTCAGAATTGTAGTTCCCACACAACTTTTCTCAGAAAGCACTTCAGGATGTGTTCCAACAAAATAAAGGTATGAACCTATAAATAGAAAACTAATAAGATACACATACTAGGAAATCAACACAGGAGACAAAGGGAGAAAATTCGCAGCATCATGGCAAAGAGAGATCCCCAATGAGATCTGCATGCCAGGCCTGAAGGGCAGCAAGCCCAGGGGGGGGTGTTAGAAGAATCTGGGAAAGACTTCTGCAAGAAGATGAAAACCATAGATTATCTAAATGTCTTGAGAAGACATAAGCAGCTGGAGAATCTGAGGTTGAGTTAGTGATAGATCCATAGAAAATTAAGCAAAAATAAAGAAAGACAGAAACACATATTCATTCCAGTGAGAATAAATATGAATCAAAAGTACTCGCAGTTAACTACTTGACTCAGCTGGGAGTATCACTTGCAGTTATAATAATATAATTATTGATTCATGATCTTACCAAAGGATAACTTAACTATATTGACCACTAGGTGTTGAGAAGGGTGTGTTTCTGTAGTGCGGTGAATTACCATGAAGTCTAACTCTCTCTGTCTCTAGAATATGAAAATTCTCACAGGAGACACTCACCCCCAGGCCCTGTCCTCCCACTGGACCTAACATAGCTGGTCATCTCCTGCTCCCCTGCTTGTCCTGGGCAGGGCAGACCTCCCCAATTCTAAGCCTTTTGCATTCATTGGAGCTTATTAACAACAGGGCTTAGGCCGCAGGTGGGCAGACCCTGAGACAGGGCAGGGCTGGGCTTGGGTCCTGTAAATGGCCCTGACCTCTGAGGCAGGGCCGGAGCTCTGGCATCTCAGCTTCTTTCTCAAACTGTTGATCAGGCCTGACTTCCTGTGAATCAGAAGCTGAGCCTTTTGTTACCTCACTGGGTCTAGATCAGGACATCCCAGCTCAGCAGCATGCTCGACAGATCGCATGCACCTTAACCTATAAAAGTTTAATGCAAGGGTTGTTTGGTTGGGTTTTTTTAACCAGGTTTTGATTGTGGGGAGATGATAGATGCTGAACACTGGATGCCTGGAGATGTGGGGTGGCTTCTAGACAGGGGTGGGGCGGGGGGAATGGATCTGGAGTTAGGAGCCTGCAAAGAAGTCTGCTCACAAGGGCTCACAGGGCTTTGCCCAGGACTGGGCCACCTCTCTTGGTGACTGTACCTGTAGTGTGATGTCTATGACAGATATTTGTGATACAATTAGAACATTCAAAGACCCATTGTCAACACTTAAAGGGCAGGTTAGCATTCAACACAGTCTTGGGATTTAATGGACTTTTCTCATTACAAGTTTACCCTCTAATGTGTCACAGTGCACCTGTCTTAGTCACCCAAGCCCTTTTCACAAGCTTCTTCATGACACCGACGTGGAAGACAAGTGAGAAGGGACAAATTCGTTTTGACTTTCGCTTCTTGTCGGTCAACCCTAAAGCTGAGAGACACTCTCTGAATCATGCTTCAGAAGTTCAAGCACATCAAGTCGGATGTATTTTGGACAGAAAAGACCAAAGGAGGCCCTTTCTTTCCTAATTTCCAGAGCTACCCACAAGCACCGACTATATTGTTACTGAGTTGAGCTCCTTGCTGAAACTCGAACTTGGAACTGTGCTAAAATGATGTTAAGGAAGCAAGCGACAAGCTGGAAAATGTTATCAGTTCAGTGTAATTTAGAATTTTGGTGTTTTTAAAAAACCCTACATTTGACTCCAGTGTTCCTAATTATGACGCACTCTACAGCCTGCAGCCTTTAGCATATGTGGGAAAATCAATTTAATTTTACTGCTGCTTAATTCATACAACTGCCATCCCCTGAAAGTATCATTAAAATGCAGAGTGCGGCCGAGCGCGTTTTCTGGCGTCTCCACCCGAGTAGGAGGAACAGAGGCCTGTGCAGAGCTTAGGCTAACTTATCGAAATGAACCTCCGCTGCAGTCCGCGGGTACTCCCACGGGGCGTGTTGCAGTTGTCACACAGGCACTCGGAGTGGCCCGGTGGTCCCGACCCGGGCCCTGTGGGAATAAAAGGAGAGAGGCCGGTAGGCGAGGGCGCAGTGCGAGGTGAGGCCGCCTTCTCCGCCCCCAGCCAGGTCCCCGGCGGCGCTGCTGGCTCGGGGCTGAGGCGTCCTGGGTGCTGGGAGCTGCTGTGGGCAGCGGAGGGGCCTAGCAGCACCCCGGCCGCTAGATGCCCACACACCTCCACCCAGCTGTGAAAACTGGAAATGCCTCCGGACACCATCAAGTGCTCCCTGGGACGGAGGAACCAAACTGCCCTCAGTTGATAACCACTGTTCTAGAGATAAGCAAGCATTGGTCTCTCTCTCTCTCTCCCTCCCTCTCTCTCTCTCTCTCTCGGGTTGCTACCATCAGTTCACAAACATACTGTAATTTATATCAGAAAAAACATCTGGTCGTTTTTAAAAGAATAGCCCACGTGAGTTCCACAACCCGTTTCAGGCTGGTATCCCCACCACGACTCCTTCCGTTAAAGCCACCAAAGCTCTCCCATGTGAGGTCACCTCTCTGTTCTTAGGTCACCTGATGCCTCAGCAGCACTGGACACAGTCACCAACCTCTCTCCTTCGTGAAACACGCTCTCCTCCCACCCTCCAGGAGGCCGCCCTCTGTTGGTTTCCTCCTCTCTCCCGACCCTGGGTCCCCTTCCTTTCCGCCCATGAGTGTGCCACGTGCACCCCCACCCTGCACCTCCTCTGTCTCTGCAAATCTCCCTGAAGCCCCTCATGGAGCCTGGAGGCTGCTGTCCTGGGCTAACAGGCCCGCTCGGGCGGTGCTGGCCTCCTGGGTGTGGGAGGCTCAGAGGCGGGCACTTTGGTTGTCACAGTGACATGCAAGTTATAGCTGCCCCAAGCTCCGATGTGACCCCACGCGGTGAGGAAATGACCTGCGGGCATCAGGAACTGGGAGGCCTTCCAGCAGCCAACTTCAACCCCAGATTGCAATAGCACAGATAATCTGGTTTTGAAAGATTTGTGAGGACGTTGGAATTCTACTCCTTTTGGAATTATTTTACTTAATTTCAATGAAAGCCTGGCACTGACTTGCCTGCTCCAGCCGACCTGCAGCATCAACAGCCCTCGCAGCAGACGGCCACTCCCTTCCCATCCTACACGGTGCTCTGGGGAGGGGCTCGCAGACAGGAACCGGGACAGCCTCGCAATGCCTGGGGTGTGGCCTCAGAGCCCTAGGCCGTGCCCCTCTCCTCTCGCTGGCAGCAGTGAGAGGGCCCTGGCACCATCTCCGCCTGCCCGCGTGGATTACGGCTTCACAGGCTGTTCAGGGAGATGCTCAAGGAAGCCGCTGCTTGAGAAAGATGTCAGCATCACAAAAAAGACCCGTCAAAGACGCAACCTCATTTCACTCTGGAGTAAAGGGCTCCCCGGAGTCTCAGCGGAGCGTGTGATAAACATGTAATTTCTCAGAGCAGCCGCAAGACTGAATTCCCAGTAATACCGTGAAAAGGCGAAGTTACAGGAACATGGAGAACATAATCCTTCATTTTTAACTCAGATGGCGACCACCCTCTCTGGACACCTGCTGTGGGCCAGGCCTGTGCCAGGAAGCGAGCGTCATTCCGTCACCACACCCAGGGTGGCAGACACCCTGACCCGAGCCACAGAGGAGCACCTGAGGTCCTGTAGGGTCTGAGTTCGAGGCTGTAAGAGACAGGTGTGGGCCCTGGCTAACTCGTGGAATTAAAGGGGGAGTTAGACCCCTGTGCCTGGGACAGGGACCTGGCAGACCCTGCGCCTGGGTGGCAAGAACTTACGGACAAGCGAGGTGGGAGACCTGAGCCGGGAGGAGAATTCCCATGAGAGAAAGTCAGATCAGACTGGCCAGGCTGGGTCACGAGACCTCACTCAGGTGGGTCCAGGGCAAGCGAGACCCATGCTGCCGGAACTGTTCAGAAAGTGGGCCGGGCCCTTCCCAGAGGCCTAGGGTAGACCTGCTACCAGGGAGCCAGGGACTCCGGGCCCCTGAAGGCCAGAGGCCCACACAGGAAAAGCAAGTTTCTGCCTGAGAAGCAGCAGAATGAAGGACTCTGAGAACAGACTCTGTAGTTCGATGGTCTGGGTGGACCCTACCTTTGTGACCTAGATAAGTGGCTTAACCTCTCTGTGCCTCTGTCTTTTCATCTGGAAAATGGAGCCAACACTAAATCCCAGTCACTGCCCGCAGGCTTACGGTGAGATGTGTTAACACACCGGCAGGGCCTGGCTGTTCCACGGGGGCTGCCACTCTTCTTGCTAACGTGCCCAAGACCCAGGCCCCAGGGCATGATCTGTGGAGCCCAGTGCAAAAGGGAAATGAGGGCTCCCCGTCCAGGAGGTGCCAGGAGCGGCAGTGGAGCCTCACACGGAGCGCGGGGCCTGTGGGACCATGGGTGGCACACGCGTGGGACCGGCCCCACCTGGATCACACGGGGGCCAACGCTGGATGCCAGCTAAACGGTGTCGGGACAAAACCCGAGCGCCGTCTGCTCTGCCCCATCTCGCTTCCAGACGGCCTGTCTTCTCACGGAAAGGACCGCCTCTGGGGAAGAGCGGCTTCTCCCAGGAGCTCGGAAGAGGCGAACCCCACAGAGGCTGCGCCTGCCGCTCTGACGACGCCCCCTGCCCTCGGGGAGGCGAGCGGACAGGCAGACAGCCGCCCACGGGTGGGCTGGGTTAGGAACCAAGATCAGCCGCCACCTCTTCATCTCTTAGGCCCGTGTTTCTGGGGAGAAAACGACGGTGGGGCGTCAGGTATCAGTGATGAAAAGAATGGCAGGTGGGGAGACAAAAGGCCAGGAGGTGACACGCTTTATTCAGGAGTGGCTGGCGGGAGAAAGAGCCTCCGCAGTGTAAATGTCAGCGGGAGCCCAACCGCTGCTGTCTGTCACCTTCTGCAGAAAGGTCCCTCCTGGAGAAAGCAGCCAGAGCCACAGCCCATCAGCCCGGCCCGGGGATGGGCCTGTCTGGGGCTCAGGTGGGAGGGGTGGCCCAGCTCAGCCCCTTTGCACCAAATCGGAGGCGTCTGCTCCGCAGGCATCTTTCCCTTCCCCCTGGAGGCCGGGCCACGGGTTGTCTGCGTTAGTGACTTGGGAGACCCTGCTGGGAGGCACGGGGAACCCATCATTTCTCCCCTTGTCCCACGTCCCCAAAATGGAAGTGTCTCCCTCTGAGCCTCGGCGCGGGTGGCCCTCGCTGCTGCGCCCGGGGTGAGTCCTACGCCCTCGGCGTGTCTGTTTTGTGCCCACCTCAGCTTGTCCATAACCAGCCCCTGTGGCTCTTCCTGTGACTGGGACACGCCCTTCAGCAGTGGCCATCAGGAAGCTTTGCCAAGAAAGACAAGTTACTCACGGGTCCTGGCGGGCCCGGGGCTCACCTGCAGCCACACGGCGTGGAACTTAAAGCTCGGAAAGAGAAAAAGCACGTGGCCCAAATGGTCAGTTATTGAAATCAGCCGAGATCCTTAAAACAGAGGAGCGGGGTGGGGGTGGGGCGGCCGCTGGTGACGCATGCACCGGGTGAGCTCTTTTTGAGGCCGGGGCCTGTGCGTGGTGGACGCACAGCTGGGTTTACAGCACAGGCTGAAGCTCCTTCTATCTCAAGGCTCCCAAACCATCCAGGGCTTTGTCTCCGGGTTCACCTGGCAGCAGAGGGCGAGGACCTGGGGAGCCATTTACGGCTCGGAAGTCGTGGTCCCTCATGCTGGTGGCGAGGGAGCTCGGAAGGAGCCGGTGGGGAGATGGGATTGATGAAGAGCAGCCGCCTGCGCCACAGTCCGGTCTCGGAGGAGGGCGCGGAGGACGACCCCAGCGCAGTCACCACCCCCTGAAAGGCCCGAGCGCGCCCCCGGGGGGGCTCGACTTACCCGCCCCTCGGGAGCATCCACGCTCACAGAGAGCACGGCCCACGGCCATGTGGGCGCCTTCAGAACCGGGCCGCAGGGTTTGGAAAGTTGCTTCTTTGTAAAGGAGGCCTTTGGACCCTGTTGTCACAAGTTTCCTCTCTCTGGTTGTCCCTTAAAAAAAAAAAAAAAAAAATCTGTAATTGAAATTGTTAATGAGTAGCATTCATTTAAAGTTCTCCTCTGCCCCTGAGTACTTAGTAGCTCTCCCTTGATATTTCTTCCCTTAATTTTTATACTCATATAACCATTCCCCGGTGGAACTTTAAACACAGGTCATTGAAACCCTACCTGGTAGCTGGGTCATAAGGGAAGGACGTGTCCATCTGTTGGCAGAGGAGGTAGGTCGTGTTTACCGCCATCGAATCAACCTGCTGTAATCTGGGTCGCAGACGGCACCACCTGTTTCCAAAAGCCACTTCCCGGCAGCTGAGCGAGAGGGTCCTAACCTTCCCGAGCCGGATCCAGTCCACCCCTCACTCTGAGCAGCCGCCGCCTCCCCCATCCGAGAGGAAGTTTAACGAAGACAGAAGGTCGGACCCCAGGCCAGCTCAGCCAGGACGGCCCACCCTCCTCCCCACAAAGCCCATGCATCCTGCTCCCCACAAAGCCCAGAGCCCAGGGAGGAGAGGCTGGGAAAGCAGCCCAGGCCCGGTGGTTCCAAAGGCGGGCCTGTGCCAGGGAAACGACTCGCTCCGTGCCCTGGGTCTCTCCACAGACACGCTCTGCGCACTCTCCCCTCGACGATACGCTCATCCTGCCGATGCGCAGGGAAGAGGGAACCCTGACATCTGAGAAAACCTGGATGGCGGTCCAGCAAATCTGACCGACCCTTTCAGTACGAAGTGTCGCTTCCCGACACACAGCGACGCTAACACCTTCGAGCGTGAGAACAACTCGTTTCAGGCGATGGTACCTGTCGGTCACAGGCCTGCCGCCCTCACTTCCCAACCTGGGGGGGACAGTTGGGTCTGACCCATCTGGCGTCTTCCTAGCGAACCAGGAAGGACTCTGGGAGATAGGACAGCCGGGCAGCAGTCGTGCCAGAGAGGTTTCGGGAGAACGGAGCTCCATCGAGCCACCCAGCGAAGTCGCCCGTGAAGGGTGGTTGAATACGGGAGACAGTGCAAATAATTTCTCCATGGCAATTTGTGTGACAGTCGGTTCACTCCTGACGACAGTGTGGTTAAGAGCCTGGGGTCTCACCCCGCTCAGCAGAGGCGCGGCTGCCGCCTCGGCTCCTGGTTCCACCCCCGGTAAAAGGACCTCGCGGTAAAAGCGCCGTTAGCGAGCGCGCCTGCCCCTAACTGCAAACCACCCGCATTTCTACCCAATTTGGAGACGTCATCCTAGAAAATTAACCTGCGCACAGCAATTTTAATGCCAGAAATAGACCGCTGCTCTTTATGGGCCTTAAATCCTAACAAGGGAGGCTTCTAACACGGGGAGGGCGGAGTGGAAAGCGCTCCCGAGGGGAAGGGGAGGCGTCAGCAGGTGACATAAGCCACGTGACCACGGCAGGTTCCTTTATGTGCCCGGGCTCCCGGCAGTGAAGGGAGGGGAGAAACCGGCGGCTAGTAACACGCAGTAAGGAATTCGGGTTCTATCTAAGTCAGTGTCTCAATATTCTGAGAGCGACAAAATGACACTTGTCTGTGAAAGTGCCCAGCTCTGTGCCGAGTGCTGGGGACTCAAAGAAGTCGACGTCCTGGTTTCCGTCCTTAGCAGATGCACAGAACAGCTGGGAAAAGCCTGCGCAAAGGAACACGGGCAGTTCCAAGCTGCATGGAAACGCCAGCAAGATGGCATGGGAACTTGGAACGCCCCACCTTACCCCTGGTGGCTGCAGCAGACGTCGCTGATTGATTGGGGTACCCGGTTTCTCTGAACTGAGATGTAACCTCTGAATTTTTTCCAGCACGGCCCTCCAGGCGGCCGTTGATCGGCGGTAGTTGTCATGTACAAGGACACCCACGTGCCAGTCGTGGTGCAGACGGTCTGTGCTGGGGGGGGAGATGTCTCTGTGGGTCCGTATCTGCTGATATTCCGAAGGCCAGTCTACCCATCTCTTCAGAGCTGAACCAGGAGCCACGGAGAAGGGTGAACTGAACACCCTTCGGGACAGATGCCTGAGTGTGGAAGAGTCATCACGACTCCTCGGGGCAAGGTCAGGCTCCCCGAGGTGGTGTTGGTGAGGCCCATGGTGTGGGCCGTCCTGGGGGAGAGGAGGCCGTGGGCCCTAAGCCCTTCAAGTCGTGGAAGAATGGCAAGGTCTGGCCGGGCTCCTCCAAAGTCATTCTAAAGAGTGCAGCTGGCTGGGAAAGGGCCCTTGGCTGGGATGGAGCATTTCTTGGGACAGACACAAGGCCTCCCGGGGAGGGCTGAGATGGGTGTGTTTTGACCTTGAAAACCAGATAACACTGTAGAAAGTGAGATTCTCACATTCTGCAGACACCAGAGGCCAGGAGCTGTCAGAGTGAAAGATGACAGTCCTCGAGTTTGGCAGATGGTTGTTTTCGGAGCAGAAGTTGTCTTTAATTCATTCAACAAATATCTTTGAGTGCCTACCACAGGCAGTCCACAAAGCAAGCAAAACAGACCCGATGCGACACCAAGAGTCACAGTCCACGAGGGGAGATGGTGTTCTTCACCCAAACCCACCCATGGTGACGTGCCCGGGCNCCACAGGCAGTCCACATAGCAAGCAAAACAGACCCGATTCGACACCAAGAGTCACAGTCCACGAGGGGAGATGGTGTTCTTCACCCAAACCCACCCATGGTGACGTGCCCGGGCTAATATTTTGATATATTACAGTATTACTTTCTGACTGCTGCTGCGTCCAAACTGCCACAAATGTAGTGCTTAAAATAATTCAAATTTATTTTCTTCAAGGTCAGAAGTCCAAAGCGAGTTTTACGGGACAGCACTCAAGATGTCGGGGTGATGAGAAAGGAAAAATCCTGCCATTTGCCACGACGTGGGGGGACCTTGAGGGCATTGTGCTCAGTGAGATAAGTCAGAAGAGAAAGACACCTGCCGTATGACCTCACTTACACGTGTCATCTAAAAAGCTGAACTCAAAAACCAGAGTAGAAGGGTGGTTGCCAGGGGCAGGGGGCTTGGGGAGGTGTTGCTTAAGGGGATGAATTTAACAGCCCGAAGATCAATAAGTCCTGGAGATCTGACGCACAGCTTAGTGATCAGAGTCGACGATACTCTAGTCTAAACGTCAAAGTTGCCAAGAGACTAGAACTTCATCGTTCTTACCACGAAAAAGAAGTGATTGTTATGTGAAGTGATGGAGGCCTTGGCCAACCCTACAGTGGCCATCCTACCGGGATACAAATAAAATCAAGACACTGTACACATTAAACCCACACAACTGTATCTGCCAATCATCTCAATAAAAATAAAGAAAAACACACATTAAGAGAATAAAAAAGACGTCGGCAGGGCTGTGTCTCGGAGAGAATCCATTTCCTTCCCCTTCCCCGGCGTCTGGTGGCTGCCTGAATTCCTTGGCTCGTGGCCCCTTCCTCTGCCTTCAAAGCTCATCACTCCAACCACTCTCTCCACTGTCATGTCTTGTTTTCTGATTCTGTCTCCCCTGCGCCTCTTTCATAGAGACCCTGGTGATGGCACTGGGCCTGCCCCGATCACTCCGGATAATCTCCCCAGCTCAAGATACTTAACTATCACAACGGCATAGTCCCTTTGGCCACGTTAGCTGACATCACCAGTTGCAGGGATTAAGGACATGGTCATCTTTGGGTGGCCATACTTCAGCCCTACAATAATTACTATCTGTTTTATTTTTTAATTCCTTTTGCCTCCCTTCCACTATTCAAGCAGCAAGGAGGGCTTTTCCTACGAGTTCCCCCACCCTCACTCCCCAGAGTAGCAGTGAGGAGATAAGAGGAGACCGGAGCGGACAGTGATCTCAAAAGCTACGATGCTCAGCTGCAAGAGCCAGGCTCTTGAGAGAGAAAAGCTCATTTGAATTCCAAAAACCTTCATTTGGAAAATCAAAAGCTGAAGTCTGAAGTCTGAGGGCAGAAAGTTAATCCATATATAATAGATTAGAAAGAAAACTCACTTGTTTCTGTCCAAAAGGGGATAAAGCTTTGCCCAGCTGGTCACAGGGGCGAGACCAGGGGCAACCGGAGTGCATTTGGGAAGTGGGTCCCTGGAGAGTTGGCAGCCCCGACCCACTGCCGAGTCGAAACTCCAGAGGAGGGGGGTGGTGCCCCCAGGACACCCTGGAGCTGCCCTCGGCCCCCTCCAGCACTCTGGGCAGCCAGGTGCGGGCACCTCCCCGGGCTCNGCCAGGTGTGGGCACCTCCCCGGGCTCCTGTCCTTGGGTCCTGAGTTCTGTGCACCCCACGGTGGGCCAGGAAGGCACCTGACATGCTCCTGTCCCCTCCAGATGGGAGCGGAAGAGCCGGACAAGTAACTGAAGGCCCCACATTCGGGAGCTGTGGACACACAGGACGGGCAGGAAGGATGAGCCCCCACCCCAGAGGAGGCCAGCAAGGCCCCTGCCCCTGCCCCTGCCCCTGGTTCCAGGTGACACAGGAGGCCTCCTCCGGGATGAGTAGGGTCTGAAACCCAGGAGTGGGGCATGGAGAAGGAGAGGACCCGGAGTCACTGAAGCGGGAGCCCCATTTTGACCATAGTTAAAGCAGGAGGCCACTGGGAAGCTTTCCTGGGACTCAGGCAAAAATGGGCAGGGGACTCGGTTACATAGAGCACGCAAATTACAGACAGCAAACCAGGGTCCTGTGCCAACAGCCCTAAGGGTGTCCCGGGGGAGGCCGTGGTCTGGACAGGGTCAGAGAAGGTCACCCATGGGGGCGATGTTTGAACGACCAGCTCTCTGATACTCCTAAATACTGTTTGGAGGGTCAGCCCAGGGTCTCAGCTAAACCATTTACTAAATGTTTTCTCTAAAGTAAGATCCTCCCCCACTGTCCCTCGCAATCTCGGCACCTTAGAGGGTGACTTGGAGGAGTGCGGACGAGTCAACACTTTAGGCAGCTGACAGGTTTGCAGAACAAGCGCGGATAAGAGGGAACACCCATAATTCTCAGGTGGGACCCCCCCCCCAGTCCTNAACAAGCGCGGATAAGAGGGAACACCCATAATTCTCAGGTGGGACTACCCCCAGTCCTCATGAACCCCTCCTTCCCACCTGCACCAGGGGAAGGGCGTGGTTTAAGCAGTGACGACGCTGCTCAGGATGTACCTACCCGCCCGGGTGCATTTTCAGGGCACAGTAAAAGATCTGATGCTTCTTTCCTCCAAGTACCAGAAAGGAAGGAAATGCAGGAGCACCGTCCGCGGTCTTTGATCACCATTT